GAGAACAAGTTTCAATCCATTCCCTTCAGTAGTTATGGAGATACCACCGTGCACGCAAAAACTTAACCACAGGGACGCAGACAAATGGGTGACTGCATTAGCTTGATTATTCTGTGAATACTCGAGCTAAAAATGCTAAATATATCCACATGAAAATACCCAGGTGCACAACTTCACATGCTGATCCACATTCCTGTAAGGTTTCATGACTCTAGGTCAATTACTTTTTGAGCTACGTGCGACACAAAAAGGGAACGGACGGACGGACAAGGGTAAATCTAAATCCCCCCCACCTATAGTGGTGGCACAAAAATCTAATGATTACTACGAGGGGTGATCCAAAAATTCGTGGACAATGTGTGTATCTCCATAACGTGACGTCCTACCGAGGTGAACTCTTTGGATATTAGTAATCAATGCTTTTTTAATTAATTGACAAGATTTTAAAACACCAATTGCATTTTTTATCTATATACGACAACATTAAGTATCAAAATCGCGGCGCAGCTTACTTTTTCTCTGTTATGTAAACGTTTCCATCTCATTTAAACACATGTAAAACCTGAGCAAACAAAGAAAATTGCGGAAAACGTTATAATAACGTTGTTCTGGTGTGTATGACGTCATTCTGTCAGTATCAGAAGACATTTTGAAGTTGCAGTTATTTTACACTCGTGCTTTAAAGAACAGGTGCTAAAAATAGCTTTATTAACAAGAGCTGTCACAGGAGACAGCCAAGCTCGACTAATAAAATACTGGACACAGTAAGGAGGACAAAACTATGAAAGAAAAATCAGTTATGTGTAATCATGTATTAAGTTATAGTAAAAAAATAACATTTGTTAAAATAAATTCCAAGATCAAGGGAAATAATTCTAGAAATAGTCATGCTAGAGTTATGAACCTTGTCACACAACATGTATGTAATGATAAGAAGTATATATTTGAAGTAGATACCTTAAAAAGTAACAAAGTTATAATATTTCTTGTACAATCTTTACCATATTTTGAGAATTTGCCGACATATGCTCACTTAATAAAATACTAGAATTTCATGTGATTTGCTTTATTACTTTTTGTTTTATGCAGGGTGTCCACGAATTTATGGATCACCCCTTGTATAGTGACAAATAAATGTTTGATTTATATGCGGTAAATTGTGACAGCAATTACATTTCATTGAATTTAAACAAACTGCATGATCTATTTAAACTGGACAAGGCAGTCTGAAGGACAGTTAAATCCCCTTCCACAGTGAACATGAATGTGTACTTCTTGACCATTTACCAACCATGACATTGATGTTGTGTCATGCATATCATAAGTACATAGTCTCACAATGGTGATTATTTGTGCCAAGTTATTTAAAATCTTAAGTCAAAAAGTTATGGAGAACATATAACCTTGACCTTGGGTATAACAACCTTGATGTTGAGCTCTGCAGATTGTGTCATGGTGGGGATCATTTGTGCCAAGTTATTTTAAAACCTTTGAATTGTAAATAAGTTATAGAGCGGACATGAATAACAGATGTTTTCACATTGGACTCATGAGTGTGACCCTGACCTTCAGGGCTGTGACTTCATTATTGTGCTCTGCCAATGGTGTCATAATGGTGCTCATTTCTGCCAAGTTATTTTAAAAACATTGCAGCGGTTTAAATGTTATGGACAGACACGAAATTTGTATACTTTCTAACATTTGACCTGTAAGTGTGACTTTGACCTTGGGGGTAGCAATTTAATTATTGCTCTCTGCACATTATCTCATAACAGTGATCACTTGTGCCAAGCTATTTTAAAAATTTCAGAGGTTTCAAAGTTATGGAAGGGACACGAAATGTAAACGTTTATACATTTGACCTTTTAGTTTGACCTTGACCTTTGGGATAGCAACCCAATTATTGCACTCTGCACATGTTCTTATAATGGTGATCAATTATGCCAAGTTATTTTTTTTTTAATTTCAGCGATTAAAAAGTTATGGAGGGGACACGAAATGTGGATTTTTTAACATTTGACTTTAAAGTGTGACCTTGACCTTTTGGGTAGCAACCCAATTATTGCACTCTGCACATGGTCTTATAATGGGGATCAGTTGTGCCAACCAATTTCAAAAAATTTTAGAGGTTAAAAAGTTGAGCGTATACGAAATGTAGACTTTTTATTATGAAATGAAGACTTTTTAACATTTGACCTTTAAGTGGGGGGTAGCAACCCAATTATTGTGCTATGCACATTGTCTCATTATGGTGATCACTTGTGCCATGTTATTTCAAAAAATTTTCAGCGGTTAAAAAGTTATGGAGCGGACACAAAAGTGTTATGGACGGACATCCGGCCAAATTGGAATAAGGGGCCATTTCTATTGTTATTGACAAAGTTACAGTCCAGACACGAATGTGTGTACCTATTTCCTCTAATTGCCATAATGTGAAACTTTAAAATGATAGTGTGACCTTGACCTTTGAGGTAGAGACGTAATTCTTGGACATGACTTATCGTCTTGATGTGGTAGACATTTATGCCAAATTATTCTAAAATCCTTCCATGCATGACAACCTTACAGTCCGTACACAAATGTGTGTACCTAGTAACTCTTATTGTGATAAAGTGAAATTTCAAAATGTTAGTGTAACCTTGGCCTTTGAGGTTGGGACGTATTTTTTTTGACGCAACACATCGTCTTACAGTCCAAACATGAATGTGTATCTTCAAACTTTTCTTGAGAGAATGAGTACCTTTAAACTACAAGTGTGACCTTGAACTTGAAGGTAGGGACATGGGTCTTGGACGAGACATTTATGCCTAGTTATTTTAAAATCCTTCGATGCATGACAAAGTTACAGTCCTGACATGAATGAGTGTACCTATAAACTCTAATTGTGATAACTTCAAAATGGTAGTCTGACCTTTACCTTTGAGGATAGGGACGTGATTATTTGAGGCGTCACATCGTCTTGATGTGATAGACATTCATGCCAAGTTATTTAAAAATCCTTTAGTGCATGACAAGGTTACAGTCCGGACACAATTATGTGTACCTATTAACTCTAAATGTGATAATGTGAAACTTCAAAATGTTAGTGTGACATTGGCCTTTGAGCTAGGGACATAATTCTTGTATGCGACACTTCATCTTGATGAGGTAGACATTTATGTCTCATTATTTTAAAATACTTCGATGCATGACAAAGTTACAGTACGGACACGAATATGTGTACCTATAAACTCTAATTGTGATAAATTGAACTTCAAAAAGGCAGTTTGACCTTGACCTTTGAGGGTAGGGACGTGGTTATTTAAGGCGTCACATCGTCTTGATGTGATAGACATTTATGCCAAGTTATTTAAAAATCCTTTAGTGCAAGACAAAGTTACAGTCCGGACACAATTATGTGTACCTATTAACTCTAATTGTGATAATGTGAAACTTCAAAATGATAGTGTGACCTTGACCTTTGAGGTAGGGACAGGTTATTGGACGCGACACACTGCACTGCACTTCCTCTCATTGCGCTTGACCATTGTATGAAGTTGGACAAGGAAAAGAAACAAAGGGCAATAACTCTACAAATACTGAACATGTAGATATGGTTATAATGTACACTACACTTCCTCTCATTGCGCTTGAACATTGTATGAAGTTGTGTTGAATTCCAACTTCTAGTTTTCAAGTTATGCACTGGACAAAAACAGTAACAAAGGGCAATAACTATGTAATTAGTCCAAATAGAGTTATGATTCTTGTGCATTGCACTTCATCTCACTGCCCTTGACCATTGTATGAAGTTTCATTGAATTCCAACCATTACTTTTCAAGTTATGCACTGGACAATAAAAAGTAACAAAGGGCAAAAACTCTTAAAAGAGTCAAAAAAGAGTAATGGTTTCTGTGCACTGTGCTTCCTGTTAGAATACTTGACCATTGTATGAAGTTGTATTGAATTCCAACCACTAGATTTTATGTTACTGCAAAATCTTTTATTATTCGTGGGGCACTAATTTTCGTGGTTTTTGTGGGTTGGTCAATCCATGAATTTAAGCTCCAACCAACTTTAATACCAACAAATACGTCTTACAATGTTTTTTTTCTAATCTTGCGTCTATATATCACAAATATGCAGCCGGTTATCATGTTGCGAAGATATTTAGATAATCAGGTAAGATACAGGTTTAATCAATAAATAGTTTAGGGTTATAATATTTAACATTATATAATATTTAAGAAACTTGAAAGAAACATCGATGAAATGTCTTCAATTGCTTTCTAAAATGTCGGGGAAAAATGTTGTTTTTGCATATACACATAACGGGGACTACAAGAAAATGAAAATCAACAAATTTAAGAACCCACGAAAATGCCCTTTTTGATAAAACCACGAAATTTCATGCCCACGAATTTATGTGAATTCACAGTATGCTCTGCAACAAGGAAGAGTAACAAAGAGCAATCACTATATAATTACTCTGGATAGAGTTATGGTTCTTGTGCACTGCACTTCCTCTTATTGTGCTTGACCATTGTATGAAGTTGTTTTGAATTCCAACCAGTAGTTTTCAAGTTATGCATGGGACAAGGAAAAGTATCAAAAGGCACTAACTCTGTAATTAGTCAAGATGGAGTTATGGTTCTTGTGCACTGCACTTCCTCTCAATGTACAAGATCGTTGTATTAAGTTGTATTGAATTCCAACCATTAGTCTTCAAATTATGCTCCGGATGTAACGGTTCGCTGGACTGACCGAAGGTCCACAAGGTGACTCCTATATACCCCCACAAACTTCGTTCCGGGGGTATAATAAAAGTCAAAGCATGGGCAACAGGTAAAGAATACATTTTGATGAGAGCTTTGCAATTTAGTCATTAAGGAAATTTTTGATGGGATGATCAAATTGATAGTTATTGTGAGGAAATGCTCAAATCTCTTGTTTATTACTATTACAGGACCATTTTTAAACATAACATACCTATAATAAACAATGGTGACTCCTACAAAGACAATCACTATGACAATGAGAACTGCAATACTAGCTGCTATTCCTGCCTTGGCAAATTGGTCACGTTCTGTACCTGAATATAAAGTAAATAGTCCACATACAATACATAGTCATTTGTTGAGGTTTTATTCTGTTTATTCTGTAAACAAATTATCAAACTTATATTTATGTTATGTTTCTAAAAATAAACTCTTATTACATAGTACAAATCATGTGATTACTGAATTAATTTATAGCATGTATTACAATAATTATATGCATTATAAACTATTAGTATTATATAATTGAAATTGACACCAAATTAGAAAAACCGTCATATTAAATAGCATAAAATGTAATACAGCAAATTCAATATACTAGTAGTCAAACTAAAGCTATCTTAAAAGTAATAGTAATATACCAGTCATCAATTTTAATCTCAAATCCTCAACCAAACACTGCACATGTCATTACTGTAATGACATGAAAGTTAGGACAAACCAACCAAAACAGCCACTTGTTAGACACTCACAATACACTAACTTTGGCCAATTTAGATTAATTTTTTTTAAATTTTGTGCATAACCATTTTTAACATCTCTACATATTACAAATAATATTTATGCTTCACTTAACAGTATTTGTATCATAAACAAAATAAAAATGAGAATGAGTGAAAACTGATCATTGATCAAATCTCAGACATCTAAACAAAGTAAAATAGTTATCTACTTGGAAAATAGTTAAACTGTCTCAAATAAAACTGGGCAATTACAACATTTTTCAGGCGAGTTTCTTGTTGAGTCATTAAAAGTGTGTTAATTGGAAACTCGGAACATTATTCACAATTACAACAGTCAGTTATTGTTAAATCTATTGTTTCTTTCACACCTACACCAAGTTGGGATAAATAAAATAACTGCAATGTGAAATCAAATCCATCAGGAGTTGTTTCCTTAACAATTTTCAATCCATTAAAAACATGCATTTTGTATGTTGCAACACTGTTTCCTAAAATGAGATAAAGCTTAATCAACATTGTCAACCTAAATGCCAATATAACATACATGAAACACATGTACATTAATCTAGACAACATTTAAGACCGATAAACTTAAATAATATTTCTTATAATTTATTCAATCAATACTGAATTAATGATCTATTACTTGTTGGTAAATTTTTGTTTCAAAAGATACGCGACAGTTTAGTGTACTTCATGCCGGACATATTGTTGGTAGATTTTTGTTTCAAAATATACGCGACAGTTTAGTGTACTTCATGCCGGACATATTGTTGGTAGATTTTTGTTTCAAAATATACGCGACAGTTTAGTGTACTTCACACTGGACATATTAATTTTGTTGATGAGTATAGTGTACTTCATGCTGGACATATTTGTTGGTAGATTTTTGTTTCAAAAGATACAGCGACAGTATAGTGTACTTCATGCTGGACATATTTGTTGGTAGATTTTTGTTTCAAAAGATACAGCGACAGTATAGTGTACTTCATGCTGGACATATTTGTTGGTAGATTTTCGTTTCAAAAGATACAGCTACAGTCTAGTGTACTTCATGCTGGACATATTTGTTGGTAAATTTTTGTTTCAAAAGATACAGCAACAGTATAGTGTACTTCATGCTGGACATATCTGTTGGTCAGTATCGTGTATTTTCATGCCGGACATATTTATTGGTAAATTTTTGTTTCAAAAGATACAGAGACAGTATAGTGTACTTTCATGCCGGACATATTTGTTGGTAAATTTTTGTTTCAAAAGATACAGAGACAGTATCGTGTACTTTCATGCCGGACATATTTATTGGTAAATTTTTGTTTCAAAAGATACAGAGACAGTATAGTGTACTTTCATGCCGGACATACTTACTGGTAAATTTTTGTTTCAAACGATACATGTGACTTGTAAAGTGTACTTCAAGCTGGACATATTTGTTGTTCAGTATAGTGTACTTCATGCTTGTGACATATTTGTTGGTAAATGTTTGTTTCAAAATATACAGAGAGTCAGTTTAGTGTAATTCATGCCGGACATATTTATTGGTAAATTTTTGTTTCAAAAGATAAAGCTACAGTAAAGTGTACTTCAAGCTGGACATATTTGTTGGTCAGTATATTGTACTTCATGCCGGACATATTTGTTGGTAAATGTTTGTTTCAAAAGATACAGCGACAGTATAGTGTAATTCATGCTTGACATATTTGTAGGTAGATTTTTGTTCAAAAGATGCAGTGACAGTATAGGAACATGCTGGACATATGTTTTGGTCAGTATAGCGTACTTCACGCTGGACATATTTGTTGGTAAATTTTTGTTTCAAAAGATACAGCGACAGTATAGTGTACTTCATGCCGGACAAATTTGTTGGTAGATTTTTGTTTCAAAAGATACACGATAGTATAGTGTATTTCATGCCAAACATATTTGTTGGTTAATTTTTATTTCAAAAGATAGAGAGTCAGTATAATTTACTTCATGCCGGACATATTTGAGTTACTTGTTAGAATCTTATCAAGTAAATAAAACATCTGGTAACATTTCCTATTTGCATAAAATAAGAAATTAAATCACTTAGCTCTGAAAAATATATGAAAGGTTATATATGAGCAATATAAAAGATTTTAGTTCTCTCTGTTTGTATGCAAACACAGAATTATTTCAAGAATTTCTTTTTCTTCCTTTTTATCCACTTACCAACAAATGATTATTGCCTGGTTCATCTTTATTAATGTTTATATTTATCTTAATATCATAACCTCTTGTTACATATTTTAATGATATGTTGATTGCCAATATTTTAGTTTTGCTGTATAATAGTCTTTATAATGTTTTTGGCAAGGAAGAAAGCTTTATCTATACCCTTTACAATATTTTTTTTTAACTTATAGCACTCATTTTGAAAGATATGAAACATTTGCATATATCAATAGACTGGTCAAAGAGGCAATACCTCGATCATATATCATGTCAAGATCCAACAAGAGCCACTGTGAGGCAGGCCGTGCTTGACTTTTTTACCTTTTTAAAGGAAACATATGCAAGGTTGAAACAAAATTTTTTTTTTTAAATTAAAGAAAATAAATACTTATTCCTTTTTTTAACAATTTTAAATGGTAGGTCTAGTCACAATTGTTGTTTTGTCAAAGTATGAATCATTTCCATAATGTTCAATTTTACATCTGAAAACATGAGACAAGAAAGTAGGCCACTTCATCAAAATCTAGGTCAACCGATATCAATGTTCAATTTTACATCGAAAACTATGAACATGATCAAAGGACATCAAAGTAGGTCACCTTTTCAAATTATCTTGGTCAGCTGTCAAAGTTCAAAAGTAGGTCAGTTTAGAATCTAGGTTAGCTAATATCAATGTTAAATTTTACATCTAAAACTGGTCCAAATCTCATTGCACAAGAATTTCATTAATTTGACCTCAAATAAAGATCTCATATAAATAACAAAATAATGATAATTTGACCAAAATTCAATAATTTGACCTTGACAGGCAAGGTTTTTTCAAGCTCAAGGTTAAGGTCAGTTCATTACCTTTTAGAAGATCTTGTCCAAAAAGGTTTTTTCAAATATGAAGATTTATTACCAAGTTACAGTCAATTATAGCAATTATCATCAGTTTTTAAATTCAATAATTTAACCCTTCAGGTCAAGGTCGTAAGTAAGCCAGGGTCAATTTAAGTTTGATATTCAGTACATTATTGTCCTAAAGAATGTCGTATCTAAATATGAAATCCATTCATTAATAACAAAGTTATAGCTAGTTACAGCAAAAAAGAAAATTTCAATAATTTGACCGTCAATGTCATTTATGAGTGAAAGTCAACATCTGTCTAGTTTACTTGAAGGTCTATCCTAGAAGATTGTTGTGTTCAAGTTTGAAGAATAACAAAGTTATAGCCACTTAAATAGCAAAAGTCAGCAAAAATTAGACATTTGACCTTGAAGGTCAAGGTCATTTATGAAGGTCAAGTTTCGTCTGGTCTACTTGTCCCAAGGGTTGTTTTGGCCAAGTATGAAGACAATACATTAGGGATTTAAAAAGTTATGATCAAGGTTAAAGTTTAGGAGATGGGAACAGGAATGCCAACATGACTGTCACAATACCTCTAATTTTTTTTCTTTGATAAAAGGTCAAACTAAAATCTTGGACTCCTCAATCAATAACATAATGCAATTGTTATGAACTTCTTTTTTTCTGGCAAGGAGTATATTTCAATCTTAAATGGTTAATGTAAAATGTATGTATTTATATATTATTTCATGGAGCTTATACTGTATTCCTAGAAACTTTCACGGAGCCAATATTTCGCATTTTTTTATAAGGATGGCGTTTTCGCGGAGATAAACTTTCGCACAATCATAGTGACCACGAAGTTTGCGAATATTAAGTCGCTGGGGATAAAGAGCATATATATTACTATTATCACAATAAGGTTTCGGTATTTGTCCACTCTATACCTGCAAGACAAGACTAAAAGCATACCATCAGACAAAATCTTTAAATTTTACTTATTAACAATCTATATCTAATTCCATTTTGATGTAATTCTCGGATACCAGAAAAAAAACAAGAAGCGCCGCAATGCAACGAAAACCAGGTTTTCAACGACCAAGTTTTGATGTGACAGAAATCAATAGGTCAAAGTGCACTGAAGTTATTGAGTAGATATTGAATATTCTATTGTAAGCAAATTACCTTGACCTTGCTCCCAGATATCTAAGTGGCAAGTGGTTAAGTTATTGAGCGGAAACTGAATTTCTATTTTTAGTAACAGTGACCTTGACCTTGATCACAGACACCTGGGTAGCAATACCAAGCTGCTTCTTGATATAAGCTACCTACACACCAAGTTTGGTGTCAATAGGCCAAAGCAAACTCAAGTTATTGAGTGGAAACTGAATTTCTATTTTTAGTAACAGTGACCTTGACCTTGATCACAGACACCTGGGTAGCAATCCCAAGCTGCCTCTTGATATAAGCTATCCATACACCAAGTTTGGTGTCAATAGGCCAAAGCAAACTTAAGTTATTGAGCGGAAAGTGAATTTCTATTTTT